TCGAAAATATGATCGATAAACTTGTAACAGAACTAATGTGCAGAACAAGTAGAGAGTGTTACCTTTTATCGAAGTCGTTATTGATGACTGATTTATCGATAACTTGATCGATAAATACACTTCAGATTTGGGTCTCTTATCAGTAACTCGATTGTTTACCTGTTATTATCGATCAGCTTATCGATAATTTCCCAAAGTCTTATGTGATATTTACGCTAGCGATTATCGATCATTTTATCGATAAATTATTCATCGAATAGTTCTTCGATCAAAAAGACTACTATAGACCCGATTTATACTTGATCATTTATCTGAAACCTTAGCGATAACTGATTGCTCGATCACGTTATCGATCAAAATACTTAACCCTGAAATTCTGACTTGTTATCATCAAAACTATAATCCTAACATAACCTTTATGCATATGTGCATAGGATAAAACAAAAATGGATGATGAAATTAAACTTGTGGAAGAGTATGCTAAGTGATGAAAAAAAAAAGGGTATACAAGTGTTTATATCGGTAGAGCATAGGTAAAGGATGTTTTAGAGGGCAATCACACATGTTATAATATGTTTAGCATGGAAAGGGATATGTTCTCAAGTCTTTGCACAGAATTGCAACAACATGGTCTAAGGAAAACTAGAAATATAGGGATATATGAATCAGTTGCAATATTTTTAAATATCATTGGCCACGCGCTTAGTAGTAGAATGCAGCAAGAAAGATTTTAGCATTCAAGAGAGACAATTAGCATATATTTTTATAATGTCTTAATAGCATGCTGTACACTTGCCATGTCTAATATCAAATCAAAAGATTTAACATTCTAGCATTTTCATTCAAAAATACACCATTGTAAATACTGGTCTTTTTTCAAACATGCTATTGGAGCAATTGATGGCATACATGTTTTCTGCATTGTCAGTGCAATAAATCAAACTAAACTTATTTCTAGAAAAGAAACAGTATTGCAAAATGTTATGGCGGAGTGTGATTGAGACGTGTTTCACTTTTGTTTTGGTCAGATGGGAAGGTAGTGCACATGATGCTCGCATATATGATTATACCCTCACAACTCCTTCAATGAACTTTTCCCATCCACGTGAAGGTATTTTTAATTTGTTACATTTATTTATGTTTAACTTAAAAACACAAACATTGTTGATGGCAATTACGCATTTGATATACGCAAATATTATTTGGTGGATGCTAGTTATCTCACACCAAATGGATACCTCGGCCTATATAGACGAGAGCATTACCATCTGCTTGATTTTCAAAAGACATCTACACTTAAAAATAAAAATGAGGTTTTCAATTATTTCCACTCAAGTTTAAGGACTACAATTGAAAGAACTTTTGAAGTTTAGAAGAGTAAGTTTCCAATCTTGCGAAACACGCCATGCTATGACTATCAAAAACAAGTTAAAAATCGTGCGTGCAACGATGGTTATATATAATTTTATTAGAACGACATCTATTACTGATCTTGGATTCATCCATTGTGAAGAAGAAGGTATTTATGCACAAGAAGATGTTGATGATGGAATTGGATTTTCACACATACATTCATCAATACAATTTTTATCTTACATGGTTCATGTTCGTGATACCATAAGAGATGAACTTGTTAATTATATAAAAGATTAGTAATCATGTCTTTTTTTATTTCTTTTTATTATACGTTGTAATATGTAGTTAAAAAAACTATTATAAATGCTATATATCGATGCAATCTCTTAATTATTATGACACTTCTTTATTTATATTTCTTTTATTAATGTTATACCTTATATTCTCACAGCAATTATTAATTAGTTTAATAATTAATAAATTATTTTAATGTATGTTTATTCAATTTTGTAAAAAAAAAAAATACTCATCTGGTACTTAATATAGAACCTAATAGTTGAGTTGATTTTGGTCCTAAATATGACCTATTTATCATATTTATTAATTTTTTCTAAATTACCCTTATGAATACTCCATAAACCATAATTAAGTAGAAGAGGGAGGATATTAAAGAAAATGATTATGGTGTTTTAAGAAGAACATGTCATATTTTTTTATAATTAACTAACTTACCTAACTTTCTTAATCTAATCAAATTAGTTAAATAAGTCTTAGATTAAGGACCGAAGGAATATCATATTTGTAATCTTTAAGATAAAATAATATTTTTCTGTTGACAAAAAAAATTCATTTTTTTCAAAAACATTTTAATCTTATATTTTATAAATGTATATGCACATACTACCAATTAATTAATTATGTTTTTTTATATTTCATTTATTATATTGGCAAAAAAAATAGTAGCAAATTTATTACTTCAAATGAAAATAAAAATTAAAATCTATCTTTTATGTAGTTATCATATTAACTTATGTATTTTCTGGTAATTTGTACCTAAAAAAAATACTTATGATAACAACTATCTAAACAGTCTCACTTTATTAAAATTATCTTTTTACAAAATTTATTCTGTTAAAATCTATTCTTAAAATCACCTTTTTTTTTCCCAAAAACTATTCTCTAAACCATAGTTTGTATTTATCAAACACCCTCTAATGTTTTAAAATTTCCAACTAGTATGATCATCAAGTCCTTAATTGAGGTGCTGGCAGAAAAAGCCTTAATTAATGATAACAAAGTAAGAAATTTGTGTTTTAGTATGTTGATTGATGATCGATCAAGGACTTATCGATAAATTGATAGATAATATCTCTGTACAATCAAAGTAACTTAGCAGAAACTTTGATCTATAACTTGTTAGATAATGTGTTGATCGATCAATTGATCGATCATTGTTAACTTAGTTGTGTATGAAAGTCTGGAGTAAATTATTGATCACTTGATCGATAATCAGGATGGTCGAACATTTGTTAGATAAAGGGATATAAATCTGATAGGCAATTATCGATCGCATGATCGATAAGCAGATTATCGATAAGAAGACAGATAAATGGTAATGCGCTCTACTCATTCTATATTTTGCTTTAGTCACCATTTTTCGATCACCTTATCGATCAGTCATTTATCGATAATATGATCAAACATTGTTTCATAACACTCTCTGTGCAGGTACTTATTTCAGCAGCTTATCAATCACCTGATCGATCAGCAAATCATCAGTACATCGCTCTTATTTTATGGTTCTTCGATCACCGGATCGATAATTAGATTATCGATAATATGATTGATTATCATACTTACATGTCTACCTTGTTTTTCACATAACGTGATCAATAAATCAGTTCTTTGACTTTACAGGATTAAACCTCTTTATTGATAACTTGATCGATCATTCATTAATCGATCACCTATTCTTTCAACCTACATAGTCTGTGTTTTCACTGAATATACTTTTGCTTATTGTTTATCGATAAGGTTATCCATCATCTATTTATCGATAATGTGTTCGAAAATTATTGCTTTAAATTCTGTTCTATAACACTTTGTTTATCGATAACCTGATTGATCAACAAGTGTTCGATCACTTGTTCGATCATAGAGCGATTTCAGTTTAAACTTCAACTAGGCATGATGTTTCTCAAAATTTATCATCTATTTCATTCGAGCCTTTCTCAGCCTTCATGATTGTCTTAATTCCCTATTTAAAGAGATTCAAAATCAAAAGTGACCTTGATCTTCTTTTTTTTGCATACCAGTATGATGTCACTATTTCCTTTTATCGATCACTTGATCGATAAATCATTAATCCATCACTTGATCGATAAACATAGTTATCTGTTTCAAAAGCTCTTACTCTGAATAATCGATAACCTGATCGATCAACCAGTAATCAATCACTACTTCGATCAAGCACGATCAGTTATTACTCAACACATTTAACAATTGATTGATTCTACCTGTAAACCATGAATGTTCATTTTATCATTTGTTCGGTTCTGTTTTTGATCTTACTCTGCAAAGAAAAACTTATTGAATCAATGTATTATTGCAGGTTACGAAGAAAAACCCAACGGCTCTCCAACGGTTGTCTAAGTAGCCTGTAACCTACCTTGTCAGAAGCATTAATGGCGGAAACTGTTGCAATTGGGAAAACATGCAACCGGACTCTCAACGGCTAGAAGCTCTTCCGTCTAATGGTTACTAAACTACCTCAACTATAAAAGGTGTGAAGGAGCATTAAATGAACATATTGAATATGCGAGTTACCCTCTGTTGATCATTTACTGTTGCATTCAATACTCTGTTCTTCCATACACCAAGCTTCAGTGATTATCATTTATTCACTTTGTAAGAGAGTTTATATTTTTTCATCATTAATCACGTCTTGTGTGAAACTCAAGAGTGTGGACTCTTGAGTGGGATTATAACCTTACGGGTAGTAAGGGGGAGTGATTGAGAGTATCAATTACTGTACTGAGGCACCAAGAGCCCGATCAATCTTGGAACATAGTGGAATACTCAGAAGTATTCTAGGACTGGACGTAGGTCAAGTGGTTGAGACCGAACCAGTATAAATTCTGTGTCCACTTTTCTACAGTGAAATCTCTCTAACTTACACTCTCTGTTTCCGTTAGTTCATTGTTTTAATTTTGCAAAATTTTTATAACTCACCCAATTCACCTCCTCTTGGGTGAGACTGCACTTTCCGAATTCCAAAATTTTAAATTATTAATTAAGAACCTTGAATTTTTTTTTGGAGAAATTGCAAAAACGCAGATAGGGACCATTGACAACTTCACTTTAGGTTTTGACAATAATAATATGTTATGAAGTTGTCAAAACCTGAAGTGAAGTTTTCAAGGGTCCCTATCTGCGTTTTTGCAATTTCTCCAAAAAAAAATTCAAGGTTCTTAATTAATAATTTAAAATTTTGGAATTCGGAAAGTGCAATTATTATTTTTTCGTTGGACCTAAATAATATAAGTATCAACGAGACGGGGGGTCTGGTAAAAAAAAAAAAAGGAGACCCGGGGGAAGAGGGGGAGAGGCTGAGAGGCTGAGTGGCTGAGGAGGGGGATCTCCCGTGTCAGAAAGAAAACAGAGCCGTACCCCGTCACAGCGGCTCTTTTCAAATGCTCAGCAGGGCCAAAACATTAAAAAAAAAAAAAAAAAAACTCATCTTGATTGTTTCCCTCAATCTTGACGGCCACCGGGTATACCGGATACGGCGGAACCACCCACCAATGCGGCACATCGACAAGACCAGGTAAGCCTTTTCACTCCTCATTCACCCCCTTATACTTCGTAGCTTTCAAAGTAGAGCAGTTTTGTGATTCGTATTGAATTTTTATAGATTTATTAAGATCCTTTTTTTTATCCCTTTGTTCTTGACTTGCTGCCATTCATTTGTTTGATAAAATGCTTCTATCAGAATTTGAATACATATATTAAATTTATGCATCTTGGCAATCGGAAGTAGGATTTCTGTGGCTTTGCAAGCCCTTGTAGAAATGTTTCAGGTCTTCAGCTCTTCTATTTCCGAATGACTTCAAAATTAGTGCTGATTTAATTTGATAGCATTTTCTTAAACACCTGTTGCTGTTGGTTGTTGATCTGGTAGTTCTTATAGTAAAGTGGGGACTTGTCCTTTTCAAATTCTTCATTATCATGTACTTTGTGGGTTAGTGAATGGCCGATAATTCCTCATGGTTTTTATCGATCAAGCTTTCTGTTCAATATTGTATAATTTAATGCTAAGAGTGAGATACTGGCAAAAAAAAGGTTCGAGTGAGATGGTCATTTGAAAATTACTTGACAGAACATGTCTAATTCGTATGCAATATGTGAGTGCTGAGTTGAGTTTGTTGCCAATAGTTTTTCAGTAATTCAGTTAATAGTGCAAAATTATTTCCTATCTTATGCTAGATGTAATTCGCACCAAGTGACTTGTTAAAATGCAATGCAGGAGAAAATGTTTGCATAAAGAAGTCAAATGAATTTTGTAAACATGACTTTAATATAGTGATCCCACCTTCGGTTGGTTTTACAGGCCATGTGCCTTGAGTGTGCTTTTGGCCTTTAACAACATCGGTTTTAATATTGTCGCTGTAGCTGTAGAAGGAATTTTTTTGTTATAGTTGGTTAAATTCCATGGCTTTCTATGATTGTTACTATTTATTCATTTTGCTTTAGGTTAAAACACTTTTTAGCATAATTTTTTCGATATTTAATGCAATAGCTTTTGTAAGTTTTATCCATATATAAACTTGTAAGATTTGGATTAAGTTTCTAAAATTCTGGTTTACTTTTTGTACTCACACAACTTAGGGCTTGCAGTTTAAATTTTTATTCATGTCAAAAAATGCTATTCTAGTAACAAATTTCTGGTTGATATGGCAAATTCGGGGCCGGCTAAAATACTGCCCCTTGGCTTAAAATTCTGAATTACTTTGAAAATCTTGATCTGTGTTAAACCAATGGTTTACTTAGTAATAATCGGGATTACATTACAAATTTTGAATTGAGCATATTCTGGTTTACAGTTGAAATTTCTGGTTTACTGCAGGACAATATTTTGATCAGAGAATTCTCTTTATGCTTGCAAATAAAATCAACCACCTTCTTTACCTATGTAAACAGATTTCAAGTTCCCAGCCTTTTTCTCATTTACGGCCCTTCCGTTATCTCCCACCTCAACCTTCACTGAGTCAAATCAAGCAAGCCCATGCTTACATCGTTGTCTCAGGTGTCTTTGGCTATGTCGGCTTCATGGGTCATCTTCTTGCTTATCTTTCTTTTTCCTCATCGATTCCCTTGGACTATTGCTCTACAATCTTCCACACAATGAGCTTCCCTAGTATCTTCACCTTCAATAACATGATTCGATGCCTTGCCAAAGGGAATTCGCCTTATGATTCCATTTCTTTATACTCATCATTGCGACAGAGATGCTTGAAACCTAATAAGCACACTTTCACCTTTGTGTTACAAGCTTGTAGTAAGACTTTGGCTATAAATGAAGGGGTTCAAGTTCACGCCCATGTGATCAAACTTGGTTTTGGAGAAGATTTGTTTATTCGAAATGCCTTGATTCACCTTTACAGTGCTTGTTCTAGAGTTGAATGTTCAAAAAGGGTATTTGAAGAACATGCCCTCTTCAGAGATGTGGTCACTTGGAACTCAATGTTGGCAGCTGTGATGAGAGATGGACAGATAAATGTTGCAGAGCAGATGTTTGGAAAAATGCTGGAGAAAGATGTCATCTCATGGAGTACGATGATCAAGGGATATGTTCAAAATGGACAGTTGGAACATGGGCTGGAGTGCTTTAAAGAAATGAGAGTGAGAGGCATAAGACCTAATGAGGCAATATTCGTTACAGTGATTTCAGCTTCAGCTCAATTGGGTTTGCTTGAGCATGGTCAATTCGTTCATTCTACCATTGAATCCTTGAATTTCCCTATATCAATTCCCATAGGAACAGCTCTAATTGACATGTATGCAAAGTGTGGCTGCATTGAAAAGTCAATATTATTGTTCAATGATATGCCCAAGAAGGATAGCTGGACTTGGAATGTCATGATTTGTGGTTTGGCTTCACATGGTCATGCAAAGAAAGTACTTGCACTCTTTCAGGACTTTATAAGTGAAGGTTTCTGTCCCACCAACATAACTTTCATAGGGGTTCTAAATGCTTGTAGCAGAGCAGGCTTAGTATGTGAGGGTAGGGAATACTTCAAGTTAATGATAGACAAATATCGCATTCAACCAGAGATGGAGCACTATGGGTGCATGGTTGATCTTTTTGCTCGTGGTGGATTAATAGATGAAGCCTTTCAATTGATTGAGACAATGGTGACTCCTCCAGACCCTGTATTATGGGCAACACTTCTAGGTGCTTGTAAGATTTATGGATTAGTGGAAACGGGAGAGAAGATTGGAAACAAGTTGATACAACTGGAACCAACACATGATGGGCATTATGTGCAGTTGGCTGGAATATATGCGAAAGCCAGAAAATGGGAAGATGTCGTTAGAGTTCGCAGATTAATGATTGAACGAAACACCAACAAAGTTGCAGGTTGGAGTCTGATTGAGAACCAGGGTAGAGTTCATCGATTTGTTGCGGGAGACAGAGAACATGAGCGTTCTTCTGACATTTATAAAATGCTGCAAGCTATAGGAATGAGAATAACTGAAGCTGGATACTCACCAAATGTTTCACCGGTATTGCATGATATTGAGGACGAAGACAAAGAAAATGCAATTAAAGTCCACAGTGAGAGATTAGCAATTGCTTTTGGTATTTTGGTAACAGAAGTTGATGATTGCATCAGAATTGTTAAAAACCTAAGAATTTGTGAGGACTGTCACGAGGTGAGCAAGATTGTATCCAAAGTGTTTCAGAGAGAGATAGTGGTTAGGGATGGCAGCAGATTTCACCATTTTAAAGAAGGCAAGTGTTCCTGTCTTGATTATTGGTAGATCATGATTATCTCATATCTTCTTGGACCAGAAGATCTAAGAATGTCTCTCTCTGCTGCTAGCTGTTGGGTTATAATTTATTAAACCTTAAATTATATAACTGATATAAATTTTGTGAAGGAGTTAGGACTAGTTAAGTGTTAGCAGGAATGCACTGTGATTAGCACATAATGTTTAGAGATGAGAGAGAGAAACATGTGATCTAGTTAGGCCATATTCTGCCTGCTATCTTCAACCTCAGGCAAGTTGGTTGTACTGGCTAGTAGGTGCTGTCAATAAATTCATATTGGTCCTAATTTACAATCAACACGGGGGGTTTTAAGTGCTGGCATTCAACAATCAAAAATCTTATTTTATGATCTGCACAGGCGGGTTTCTGGGTATGGGCCATCATTGTAAGGATTTTCTGGATGTGTAATGCTGTGATCTCTGGGTTGCTCGGTCAAAAAGAGAAAAAGATCTCTGGGTTAGCTTGACCTGCTTGAACTCTGAGCATGCTATTTCTCTGTCACAAGTTGACAAGTGAGTTTGTCCAATAAAGATAACTTCAGCGAATGGCCTTATAGGCTGATGACATGTAAGCTCTCTTATAAGTAGGAGGTCGCAGGTTCGATCTCGCTTGTAACATTAGGCGATTAGTGTCTGCACTTCTCATTTTTTCTTTTTTTAAAAAAGATACCTTCATATGGATTTTAACTGCTTGTAGTCAAACAGTTTTTGTAGTAAACCCTGGACTTCTTACAGTTAATAATGCATGACAATCACATGATACTGGAGGTGGTGCCTTTTGGTTCCATGGTTGATCTCTCGGCATGTGCTTATTATCATAGATGGAGCTGACAATGATGATTCAACAAGTCTCACCGCCTAGAGCATGTAAGTTAATTTTATCATTTGAAAACTAATGGTTATGGACATTGTATGTATGCAATTCTAAAAGCGAGAAAATGGAAAATTGTGGCTATGATTCTCACATCAATGATGGTAGAAAGCATCATAGAGCTGCATATTAGATATTGAATAAAGCATGGGGAATCATTTGATGGCAAAAGGGCAGTGAATAGCTGAAGCTGGTTATGGCTTTGAATCAAACCTCAAACTTTATTACAAGTTATAGGATATACCAAGACAGAGACTGCAAATTGATGTACGCTATTAGAGGTAAGCAAATGATTGCATTTTTAGCCACAGAAGATGGAGATTGCATGATGACTGGATTGAAGATTTGTGATTATTTTCATGGGTGATTGCCATTTTTTCCCCCTTTTGAATCTCTGAAGTGTTAATTGAGAGACAAAATATAGTCAGAAATGTTTTGATAGTTCATAATTGTATAAATGGTACTCCCTTCGGTCCTTAATATAAAGTTTGTGGTGCAAATTGTACTACAAAATAGGTTTTATATTAAGATTTTATATTAAAAGTCGGAGGAGTAATTTTTTTTTTTTTGGGGACCACATTACTTGTGAAAACAGGATTAACTAGTATCTATTTCGAAACGTGAAGTTTGTCATGAGGTGATGTGCTGGTAGACGAATAATTGAGTCCATTTGCTGTGTTTAATGACAATTAGGGGTCTTAATTTTTTTTATTTATTTTAGTTTTATTTATATATTTAGGATGTTCATGTTTGCAATATCTTTAAATAAATCCCTTGGATTGTCCTTTGAGTATCATTATCGTGTAAAAATCCTTTATATATATATATATATATATATTATTTCAGATATATGGGGCCTAAATGAGGATCTAGGATATCATGCAATATCTTGTCAATATTCATATATTCACAAAAATATAATGAATTATTTTGTCATTATCATGCAATTTACTCCTCTTGTTCTATTAAGAAGAGAATGAGAAGGGATTTTTTATTCCTATTTATAGGACAGAGAGAGAAATTTTTTGTATAAATTTATAATTTTATCCTTCGTTTATTATTGTGTTGATTTTATTTTCAAAGGATAGAATGTATATTTAATAGGGATAAAGTTGAAAGGTTAAATTTTATGATAGAGTTAATAGTTTAAGGTTTTTTTTTAGTCTATATAAACTATATTGGAAAATAACTTATAAATAGAAACAATGACTAATAATGTTCTTGAATTACTGTATGTATGATATCTTATCCTCTTTATCTTTAGAATATTTTTTTTTATTTTGCGTTAGGAATTTAAAATAAATACAAGCTATATTCATTATTTTTCAAAATAAACACTTTTGTGCTTAAAACTTTTGTCAAAATCCACATTTTGCAACTACTTCATCCTTTTCAATGTTTACTATTATTTCCAATCTTTAATATATGAGTTTAATAACTACTTTATAGATATTAAAAAAATTAATTTAGTTTTTTATAATATGAGTGCTGTTTTTCTTTAAATATTTTTGTTAATCATATACATGAGGATGAAAACTTTTTAACATCTATGATGATAATGAGGACTACTTTGGAGGAAAATAAATAAATATATATGAGAGATAAAATGGATGGATTAAGATTCTATATTGATAATCAATTTAAATCTTCAACCATCTTTTTAATTTGGTGACTTTAATTCGGAGTACAATCAAGAGGGACTGATTTCTTTTTTTTGACCTTCTGGAAAGACTGATTTAAAAGTTTAGAAAACAAAATCAAGAGTATGCATATTAGATAAAATGGCCCATTTTATTTGTACTTGTTCAAAATGTTTCTTTACGCTTCATTCTTATCGCACTATATTTTATATATTCAATTCAGAGAACGTCAAAGGCAAGTTTTGAACTTGGCTACGAGATGCTTAACTCTTGAATGAAAAGATTATTCTTCAACGCTGGATAGTCTTAAGATATGTGTGTGTTATTTTACATCTCTATGCACCTCTATGGTAGACAAAGACAATCAACCTCCAAAACGTACCGGTTCACGTTAAGCCCTCACAATACTGAATCATCAAACCCTGAGGATCGCTAAAACTTCAATCCTGAAGCTCCGCACAATGCCCAAATGACGTCGGGCTCGTTTGGATTGCGGTGAGGAATGGTAAAAGCACATGGGAAAGCGTGAAACTGAGGTTTGTGGTTTATTGTGACTCAAAAGATTGTTTGGATAGGGCTTCTTTTCTAACTGACTTATGGGAAAAAATAACTTTTCTAACTGACTTATCCAACACAATCTGGATCAACTTTTCTAACTGACTTATGGAAAAATTGTGCAAAGCTTACGATCTAATTAGTTATATGATTTCATTTACTTTAATTAGAGACTAAATGAATTTTAATTTATATTCATGTTTGTCTATTATGTATATTTAATTAATTATCTACAATATGTTTTCAAATTTTTCTCCGTAACAAATATTTTTATTTTATATTTCACAAATAACTATTTATATTTTATCATAATAATTTTATATATTTTTTAAACTATTATCACATTAAAAATATAAAATTTCAAACACTACTATTCAATAAAGTTCATGTCCTTTTCATTTTATAACTAAACTAACTTTTCTATTAATCATTCAAACAACTTTTAACTTTTTCAACTGACTTTTTATAAGCACCTATCCAAACATAAATCGCATTACACTAACTGACTTTTACTCTAACTTCAGTTATAAAAGTCAGTTAAACTATAAGTCAGTTTTACTTAACGCCAATCTAAACATACCCGTCGTCTGTGCTCATTGCTTCACCTTGGATGGTAAGTATTTCTCTTTTGTATAGGAATTATGGTATTATTCACGTTAATCTGACAATGACATATTGTTATTTACAGGCTAATGAGACAAATACTACGACGAGCTGGTAGGACTTTATGGGTGTGCCTTCCCTCATGCACAGGGATCACTTCTCAAACTTTTTCTGAGGCTCTCTCCATGCACTTCCCCACTGGACATCCTGGCTTTGCGCACTAGTAGTAACAACATCAGTTGATATGCACACAGACAGTGGTGGACGCAAGACCCTAGGGTAGTAGGGACATGAATTATATATAGTGTAAAAATTATAGAATAAACTTGAGAATGAGTCAAGGGGTTCAAAATTAAAGGTAGTGGGAGCAAATATTCAAAACTTATCATACTTTTAATTTATTTTTTTTTCAAGAACTTGCTAAAGAAAATGGGGCGGGGAATTTACTAGCCGTTTATTTGGTCCTAATATAAGAGCTAGTTGGGGGGTAAATTTGGTTCTAAATTTAAGAATTCAATCCATTTGATTTGTTTACCATTTCCCCACCAAACTATCCCTGTTGCTTGCACATGTTAAGAGAGTTTGCATTAAGGAATAGTTTCAATACAAATAATTAGTTCAATGCAAATGATTTAAGAGGGTATTTTAGATAAATCAATACATAACTTTCACAACTGACTAATTTAAATACTTTTTTTAATCTACCTAAATTAATTAACTAGATCTTATATTGAGGATTGAAAGTAATATATCATTGTCAATAATTATGTCATAACACAATCGAGGCATACAAAATATTTTCAAGAGTTACTTCATCAAACAATTTGACTTTCCCAATATTTCCATGACTAGTGGCACCTAAATCTAGTAACCAAGTGGCTTTGTGAGTTAAAGAGAGAGCAAGGTTTATCAAGCCTCATTGGTCCTCATTAGGAACCATGGTACTAAGTGTTCCAACTAGTTCCTGTGAAGTGCTTTGTGTATGAGGTTTAGTAGCAGAGTCTGCATGAATGAAGAACTAACAATCGTGAAACTAACTACTCCGATTCTGAAACCTGAATTAAACATGGAAGTTCCTAATGATCATAGACTACCTAATGCACAAAACCATAATAATAGTGGAGGTAATAACAAGGGTAATGGTAATGGAGGGTATTGGACTTGAAAGAGTATGAGAGAATAATGGGTAGAATGGAATTAACAACACTAGGAAGAGAATAATTGGAGAAGTTACTACCTCAGGTATTCATTATGACCCACCCAATTTTGATGTTAACTTTGAGATTAAGGGTTTGGTTATCAACACACCTCCTAAATTTCAATGGCTTGACATATAAGGATCCATACTATCATTTACAAGCACTATGATTTTGTCAAAGTATGAAACTAGTGGGAGCAACCTTGTGGAAAGTGTTTCATCTATTTTTGGAGGGCAAGGTACGTAAGTGAATGGTACATGAGCCTGCCTCTTACATGTTGTAGATAGGGAAAAGCTGGTGTGATCTTATAAAGGCTTTCATGGAGAAGCATTTCCCTGCCTCTAGGAAAACTGAAATTGCATTAAAGAATAAAAAACAATTAAAATAATTAAATACTTTTTTTCCTCGTACCTCAAATTCTAAAGCTAGAATTCGGGCCACAAAACTGACAGAGCTTTGCTGTAGTAAACTCTCCAAAAGTGACATGGGGGGGGGGGGGGACGTTCGCTTCAAACTTAGTTGTGGTTATTTTGCTCTAACCGCTACTAAGTAACCATGACAAAATTGGCGCCAAGTTTGTCATGGTTTTTTTTTTACCATAACTGCTATAGAATTTAGAGAGTCATAATGTTGACAAGTCATAGTGCGTGGAGCCTCTACAATGCATTTAAGGAGGATGGATACACTTGGGTCCAAGATGGATTCCTTAGAGAACAAGATGACTTCTCAATTATACTATCCATGATCACTGCTGAGTTGAAAACCAAGGACATGCAACACCATTCTCCTTTATTAGATTGGAATGCACCTAGCTGTGGTACATGTGGATCAGTAATTGCACGTTTCGAGTGTGTGCCCAAGTTGATTTCAGGAAGCGTCAACAATGTATCAAGGCCATCCAAACTAGAAATGATACCTCTATTCCAACACTTATAATGAAGGATGGAGGACCAATCTTAAGATTAGTTGGAGGAATGAGGAGAGATGAGGATCTAACAAGTTTCGAAAAAATGGAGGAGCTGGATCTTCATCCAATAAGTTTTAAAATCAAGACTAAACTCTCTGATCCTAAGAAGGATGACATTACCTAATTTTTGCATATCATAATGAACATGATGAAAAATGAGAAGGCAGCTATTGCCAATCAATTCAATGTACTTGTTTCATTACTCTTCTAACAATATAAGTGACCAAAAAGCAAGGAGTGGTGATTAGTGCTTCATTCCTAAGGTTTAGGATTCAAACTTGTGTAGACTCTGATACAAAACTTTAGTAACAAAACACTATCATGCACCAAAACTAACAACCAAGTGGCTTTGTGAGTTGAAGAGAGTTAGGTTGATCAAACCTCATAACCATTGCACTAAGAGCTCCAACAAGTACTAGCTGTGACATTCTTGTGACTCCTAACATTTGTATTAAAGCCTGCATGATGGTTAGCGCTTCATTCCTAAAGCTTTGGATTTGAACTTGTGTAGACTTCGATACCAAACCTTAAAAATAAATATAACTGTTTCAGCCCAACAAATGCCCCAATATAAAACTAACAAGTATTTTTCACATTTCTTTTTGAACTTCTTCAATCTGCCTTGTTGATATTGCTATAACATCAAACACTTTTTTTTTTACTGTAGGTGTTTTTATGTAGGTACTTTGATTATTTTATGCAAAATATTTATTATTAATTTTTTTGAAAAATGATGAAGAATGATGATCATAACAAATATATGTATAATCATATAACTATTTTAAAAAATTTTAAAACATGAAAAAATAAAAATAGCAGTCATTAATTTATAAAAAAAACTATTAAAGCCATTATATTAATGACACAAAAATTTGAAAAAAATAAAGAAAGGGAAAAAAGAATACCACACGTACGTATGAGGATCTTAAGCGATGTTATGCAATGCCTTGTTATTATCTTGCAATATAAGCAGCTCCTTGAATTATTTTATGCATGACATCTATAATATTCTTCAGAGTTTTTAGGATCAAGAATTCAGTCTATTTAAAGAAAAATTATATTCATTATTTTAAAGTTTCAAGGCACGAATAGAGTAATTGTTTTTTGCAAATTTACTTATTACTTTGTGTTTTTGATCAAATAATATTAGATTGTTAGGGTATAGGAGTTTACACGTTAAACAAAAAATCTAAAATTATGTACTCACAATAAATAGAAAAGCAATATTCTCAAAATATATCGTGATAAAAGATAAAATAATGATATCATACAATAAAAATAAATAACAAATACCATAAGATTTTAACCGTTGATATATGTATATGCATATATAAAAATAAACACTTCTTTGTTTAAGAGTTTGTTAAAATCCGCATTTTGTGATTTCTAGTAATTTAACTTCAAATAAGTTTTTTGTTATTGACATAATTTAAATTTAAATTTGGCCACTTTGATCTTCTGGAACATAATACAGAGATTGACGTTTAAAAATTAAAAAAAAAAAGAAGTACTATATATAGTACCCATTTTATTTCATTTCTTGTTCAAATAAATGTTTATTTACATCTCGTTCTCATCGTAAATCGCACCATATATAATTTTATTCACTTTGGAGAATGTCGAATGCAATAGTTTTGATCTTGTCTACGAGAGAAGAAAACACAATCTCTAGAACTTATTGGTTCAGGCTAAGACTTCGATATTGAATCCTCAAATACTGAGGACAATGCCAAAACGATGTCGTACACGGTTATTGCTTCGTGTGAGACCTCAATAATACTGAATCCTCAGACCTTGAGGCAAGGGTACACAATAGACAGGCTGAACTAGAACAAAGCTTAACTCAAAGTCTGGTTTGATTTTTGAACAATGTTTGTGCAAGTTTTGGCAAGTGTGGTTAAGGTGTTTGTATGGTTTGATAAGTTTAGACAAAGTATGGGCAAGTTTTGGTCGGGTTTGACAGTCTATGGTTTGATCCAGTCCAGTAGTGACTTATGTCGGGTTAGATTAGACTTGGTTTATCAAATTATTTGCATTGGTCTAGGTAGCTAAGGACCTTAATTTGCTTTTTTTCAAATTTTTTTCCTTTATGAAAATCAAGATTAATTTCATACTAATAAACATAATTAGGATTAAAAAAAACCT